GTGAGGCAGCTTCTTGAGGAACAATGCAAAGCCCCTTGTACTCGTATGCCACTCTTGAATAGTCGTAGCGTCCTGTGTAGTATAAAATCTGTCGTACTTCTCTCCAAAAAGACAAGATCCGGTTCCCCCCTCGAGTTCAGAGCTCATAAGTCGAGTTCGCCCCGCGTCTAAGCCTTAAAACTGCGCCACTTCGTCCCTCACTGCGTAACCTCGAAACCTCGTCCACTGCGTTTACTCGTCGATACAGTCTCGACGAACCCTTCGACTTCGACGATTGTCGAAGAAACTGCGAACCGCGTCCTAGCTAAGTCCCCCCCCCCTTTGAGTCGTTTTCTTTCCTTCTACGATACGTCGAAGAGCTCTGCCGAGCTTTGATCGTCTCCACTAACCACCCCCAGCCTCCGAGTAGCTTCGACGACGTGTCGAAGCCACCTCGTACCTTCCCTAGCGTTCGTAGCCTTTTCCGAAGGCGTTTCTCGTGTTCACTCGAACCGCGGGACACCTTGCTGCTAACTCCCCTCTCATTAGACTATAATCCGTCTCTCTAGTCCCTTTAGGTCGCACCCAGGTTAGGGGTTAGGGTTTCGTAGGTCATATCATTTCTGGAGCCCACCGCGAGGGGATTTCAGGCAAGAATTCGCCGCTTTCGGGTTTCCGAAAACGTCTCCAGTAGTCACCCGCTCGCAAGCGCGTGAGGCTGCTAGCCGTAGCGCCGCCGAGAACCTCGACAGCTCCTCCAGAACGCAATCGACTCCCTCTCCAACAATTCCCGGTGACTTCGACCGCGACGAGGAAGACGAGATAGACCAAGAACTCCAGGACGACTTTGAAGAAGAACCAATCCCTTCGACCGCCGAAGAACGCACTTCTTCCCCCGAGCTTCTAGGCCTCACTACTTCCGATTACGACATTTCGACTCCTGAACTTTTCGAACGATCCGGTTCTTCGCCCGAACCCGAGGATCCCATCCCATCTACTTCGAATCTCGTACTTCCGACTCCATCTTCTGTTCGCGCCCACGCTCAGCCGCCCATCGCATCCTCTTCGCGACTTTCAGTCATACCTACATCCGACCTGGCACCTCCACCACCATTAGCACCTTCGAACGCAGCTTCGAACTCCAACGCCGCACCGCCCGCACCTACGATTCCTTCGACTACTACCGCGTCCTCTTCGAGCCCAGCTCCTACTAACACCACGAACATGAGTCAGAACACGAACACACCGTTGATGCCCCCGCGCGGTCATTCGACGGCACCAAGCTTCGACCCGTCGGAAGTCCGTTCGCTTCGGCGTTACTTCCAGGACCTCGAGGTGTTGTTCACCCGGTGTCAGATTACCGACGAAGCAGCCAAGAAACAGTGGGCCGTTCGGTACCCTTCGATCGACGTCGCCGACTTATGGGAAACCATTGAGTCCTTCATCGACGTAGCCAAGAGCTACAACGACTGGAAAGCCAACGTACGAGCACTCTATCCTGGCGCCGACGATACAAGAAAGTGGTCGCTGGCGGACATGGACCAGCTCATCGGAGAACGCGCTCGTATCGGGATTCACAACGCGGCAGACCTAGGCTGCTATTACCGCGACTTCATGGCCATTACGAAAAATCTCATCGCACAGCACCGGCTCTCCACTATCGAGCAAAGTCGCGCATTTCTTCAAGGATTCCAGCCAGCATTGCTCACACGGCTCGAGACCCGACTGCATCTCAAGCATCCCGATCACTACGCCGACGACCTGTACACCATGGCAGAGATTCACGCGGCGGCTACGTTCATCCTACACGGTACATCGAGCACACCTACGACAGCGGCTAACCAGGCTATTGCTTCGATGTCGAACACTTCGACAATGGTGCCCCCTGGGATGATCAAAACCAAAGACATCTCAATGATCATCGAAAGCCTATCGAGAACGATCGCAACACTCATTCAGCCGACGACACACGCTACGCACAACCACGCCCCCGCACCGAGACAACAAGCTGCAGTCCACGTCCACGAGAACAGCGGAGTTGAACAGACGTGCCACTACTGCGGCAATCGTGGCTGCAGGGTAGGCACCTGCGAGTTCGCGGAGATCGACATCCGGGACGGCAAGTGCAAGCGTAACACCAAAGGCAAGATCGTCCTTCCAAACGGAAGCTTCTGCCCCCGCACTATCCCTGGTCTCACGATACGGGATCGAATCTACGAGTGGCATAGAAGAAATCCCGCAGCACCCGCCGCTCCGATGATGCTCTTCGAGATCGATGATCGCTCGACTATGCAAACCTTCACGCTCAACACCAGCAGTAGGATCGAGGCGCTCGAGCGAGAACTCCTTCAGCTTCGGAAGCGAAGGGAGGTCTTCGACGGCGTCGAGATTCTACAGCGGAAGAAGCCCACGATGCCAGCCGTCCCAAAGAGCGCGGAAGCCTCGGGATCTGGTACATCAAAAGGAGTGGCGGCGCCCCCGAGCACTTCGACAAGCACGGCCCCGCATCCGACGATACCAGCAGCAGCACCTGCGCCGTCTTCCTCCTCGCCTACACAATCCACGTCTCGACCTACTACATCCGCTCCCCCAGCACCACCAGTACACCCCTTCGCAAACGCTCGCGACGCAACATACGCCCCGCCAAACGTTCGAAACTTCGCAACTCCGCCAAAGCCCTCGAACGACAAGGGCAAGGAACCAGCGTACAAGACCATCGTCCCCGTTATCCAGCCGAAGCTCGCCGAGGAGATCTTTCAGCGTTCGATGAAGTCGCCGTTCGTCATGCTAACCCCAGAAGAGTTGCTGTCAATCGCGCCCGATGTTCGAAACAAGTACCGCGACGCCGTCACCCCTAAGCGAGTCTCGACGGAACCCGTCACGTCGGCCCACATCGTAGAAATCGGCGCCGACGAGGTCATGGCCGTCAACCAGCTCTTGTGTTCAGGTGCAACGTTGGAACCCGGTGCTACAATCGTCCCCGACCCATATGAAACCTATCTGAAGCACATCCCTCACGGCGAGCACCCCGCAGAATTCACCATCGCACGCGATTCGAATGCGATTCATTCGATCATCGCGTTGGTCGACAACAAGGAGCAAATCGAATGCATCGTCGACCCCGGTTCGCAGATCGTCGCCATGTCGGAAGAGGTCTGTCTGGGCCTCAACCTCCTCTTCGATCCTACTATCCAGCTGAACATGCAATCGGCAAACGGCGAGGTGGACCGATCGTTGGGACTCATTTGAAACGTTCCCTTCCG